ACGTTTCTTCTTCATGACAGGGGAGCTTTGTCTGTGCGCTGAGCAACAGGCTTGATAGCAATTCGAGATGAGAGTGATTGTTCAGCATTGATTGTTGATGTTGTCTTGATCGCTGCCGATGACAAGGCAGAGTCTGTTGTTGATGCACAGGGGGTATTCAGCGGTAGGTTTGGGATGGTGGCGCTGTACTTCTGAAGTACTTCCTCGATTTCAGCAAGTGCTTGAGGCCGATGAACGTCTGAGATCTGAGATAATTTGTGCGAAATCTGGAGGACCGTATGTAAGCATTTGACTGGCCAATAGGAGCAAGTGAATAAACAAACCTGAGTTGATCGTTGTTTGATCTCAGTCATGCTCTCAGATAATGTTGCCTGATGTGTCTGGATGTGGATTGAAAGTGGTGCGATAAGCGTAAGATCATGAGGTTGGGAAGTTATAGATTGACTGACGGTTGCTCCAATTGGACCGTGGTTGTGTCCGGAGTGTTTGATATGAATGACCCAACTGCCAACTGGTGGTAGCAATTGAGTGGAATTCTCCATTACAATTGCCTGGAGATGACTGGGAACACGGGGAGCAATGATCTCGGACGCAGTCAAGGAGAAAGGACAGTCGGTTTTGCGGGATGTGGAATGAATGGAAGGTTTCCGTCCTGATCGATGGCAGGTGTAGCGTACACTGGTGTCGTCTGAAGATCGAATTGTGATCTTGTATCCGTTTGCAACGGCGTGAGCTTGGAGCTTGTCATGAATATCGGATTGTGAGGAACCAATGAGGTTGAGTGGTGGCGGTTGAAGGCTGGGAACGGTGCTTGACAAAGTAGTTGGCATGATGCGGTATTGATGGTGGTCCTTGAAATTGATTGTTTGACTTATTCAACAATGGAGGAGTTGTAGTGAGGTGGGAGGAAGGTGTGTTATTGAGCTATTGGTCGGGTTATGTGAAAAGTGTAAAGATAATAAAGGGTGGTGGAGTTATGTTTTGGTTTGTGTATGTAGTAGTGTTATGTATACAGGGTGTTAGGATGTCGTGGTCATTTTTTTCAAGTGGGTGATGTTGAAGGGAGGTATAGTTCTGATTGGGGGGTGCGTGCATATAATTAAGATGGGTAGGTAATTACACAGGGGTAGGTTTGTCAATTGTGAGGTCAGAATATATAAGACCAGGTGGATTATTGTGTTGAGAGGGTGAGTATATGGAAGGGTGGTGTAGTGGTAATGAGGGGTGGTGTGTGTTGTGTAAGCGTGCGAGGCTGATGAGGGCCTCCCTAAGGGAAAAGTGGGACTTAGCCAAATTTGGAGGTCACCAGGATCCTTCTTAAGATGATGCATCATCTTGGCAGGGGGGATCGAACCCCATTGGGTCATACAGACGTCTGTATGGCCCAATGGTATAGGGTACAAACATAACTGTACAGGTGACTCCAAGACAGGTGCTCCAAGAACTGATCACAAGTTACCACTTATCAAACCGATTCCCTTCATTCAAATCAAGTTGGCTTCCGTCCTTTGAACTCTGAATGTCAATCAATAAACTCTGATCCCTTTGGTTCACTCGATGATGTATTCTCATCTGAACGTTTACCATTTGGCTCTAGCCAAGCTGGATCATTTTTAAACGGGTCCATAGATTTTTGCACTCCACTGTTTTACACTCGACAATGAGTGTAAAACCGCATGAATGTAAAAATCGTCATTAAGGGGGTCAAATTAGAATTTTACACCCGATCCGAACCAAATCCCGGAGTGTAAAATACACGAGTGTATATGCCGGAGTGTAAAATTATAACCGGACGTGCCTAAGATTCAATTTTACACTGCATCCTTTACATACCTTATGCAGGGTAAAAAAACCGCAGTGTAAATTTAGGTATCCACCCCCAAATCTTGATTTTTGCATTCTGCAGGCTTTACACTCATAGTTGGACGTCACCATCTTGAGTGCACTTTTCTAAAAGGACCCCACTGATATACAAATTTGCACCTTTGCAAAGTATGCAGTATCCACAAGATATCCAATTGGCTATCACGGCATTCTTACCAACCAAACTTTTCGATCGGCCAACGTTGAACCCTGGACCACCAAACCATACCAACACCACCCCTTTCGACCAACGTGACACCAATATCTCATGCAACCACATCCCTTGGCCACGTCTCTCATCGCTGCCCTCTCCTCTCCTTCCACCTCGAATTGTGCTACACCATCTTACACTACACCAAAGTGCGTCTTTCCCGTACAGTTTAGAAAATCGTGACTGACATAGAAAAGTATGTACCATCCACATATTCTGGTTTCCTGAATGTAGTGAATTATTCCAATTTAGGAAAGTAGAACAGTACACTTCCAGGTGTATCCTTGTGTCACAGACTGCTTTGAGCGTTATGAGACTCAGTACAAACGTACATTCACAACCCCATGAGTTTACACTACAATCACGCCCGTGAAAGTTCACTCAAGCTTTATGACATTGGGTGTGTATCTTACTGATAATCTGTGATGATCTGGGTTGTAGTCAAAACAACATATT